CTTAGAGCACTTTTAAAACCACCTTTCTTTAGAATAGTCTTAAAAATACTGTCTCATAAAATAGCTGTCTGGAATTCCTTGAAGCTCATGGTTTGGCTTCTGAAGTTTTTAAACAAATAGACTGTCAGGAATCAGTGTGGATTCGTTTCCAGGATTAATGCTTCATTCGCAATAGATTCTTTGCAAGATCAATACCCTTAAAGTATCAGAAGATTAAAGAAGTATCGGATACCAAAAACACCAAACATTGTTTTAATTACTCAAGTAGAAGAAAGCTGGGTAATTTTTACTTGCCTACGAAGAATGTTCTGCTTAAGCCAAAACAAATTCTTTACCACTTCTTTTAGAAAGTCTGGAAGTATTTAAGTTTCTCTCCTCTGCTTGTGAGACAATGGCTGTTAGTGAGCCAGTGCTGCATGGGATAATAGTCTTCATTTGTAACAACCTGTCATTCAGCTGGTCACTCAGCTAATTAAGTATGTTTGTTAATTGTTTCAGTAATACGGTTTATTGAGTTTGAGGTTTCTTACTGTTTGTCGTGCCTATAGAAAAAAACAGAAGCAACAATCCAAGGTCTGTGCCTGTTGAATAGTTTACAGAAAGTTAAACAGTGTATCCATTCACTTCTGCTATTGTGGTATGTGAAATGCAGTCTTTTGAGCCGAATCCCAGAGTCATTAGCTATTAACTCAGGCAAAGCACATATCGATTTCAATCATAGTTTATCATGTGACACTCCTTTATTTATGCCCCTATTGTGGTTTTAACTAACAGCTTGTGACAGGGATTTGTAGGTGGGTCATGCAGGAGTGGGAGTCCCAGGAAATGGTGTGGTCCTTTGGTCAGAATCCTCTGCAGTTGCCCTGGGGCTAATTGCCAGGCTGGGCTCTCTACCACACTTTACAGGGAGCTGAATAAATTCCTTAGCAGAGGGTTTTCGAGGATATAATCCTTCCTTTTCCCTGGCATTGGAAAACACATGAAACCCTGGTGGCAGTGCACAACCCAAATACTGTTAGCGCTCCAAGACTGTGGAGATGGGGCAGAGGCTGCAGTCTGGACAGATGAACAAAGAGGTGATGTGGCTTGGGGTGGCCTTTGTGCACCAGCACAGGGTCAGCCAGAATTTCAGTCTACCAGTGGGAATATTCAATACTTCCTTCAGTTATATAAAATATTGGCATAGAAGCCCAGGCACGCATGGGGAAAAATATGTGGATTCAAACAATACTTTCAGTGTCTGTGAGTGCTTTACCCAGGAAGAACTTTGTTTTATAGTAGTACCATGTGTGCCTCATACTGCTGCTACTGCTGAGCCTCTTTCAGCACAGTTGAACCAATCCTTCATGACTTCTTTGCCTTCTGAACCAGTAAGAATTATCTCCAAGCTGTAAGCTTGTGACAGAGGTATCATTCATGAAAATCTGTTCTCTTTTCCAGAAGCCCTCAGGAATACAGGCTAGATTAGTTTGAAATATGTGTGGATGATGGATAGAAAAGTGTAAACCTAAGCTTAGGGAATGGCATCATCTTCATGCATAGTGGAATCTGTATGCTTGTGTTTAGCCTTCCTGGTTATTTTAGGCTCCTACTTATGTGTTGGAGTTCTGTTGAATGGTGAGACGAACTAAAAATATTTATGGATTCCCCCAAGTGACTTTTCCAGTCACTTGTGACTCAGAGACTGGAGCAGACTGTCTGAAGAACTAATGAGTTCTTCTCAGTAGTAGGAAGTGGGTAAGACTTTTGAAGTGAATAGAAATTACCTAAAAGTTTTTGACACCTGTAGAAACAGAGCTTTAGTTCATTGATGCTCAGGGTTTGTGAGAGGGAGGCACATCCTAAGAAATGGTAGTTGGCTAGGAAACAGGTTTTGTGGTGCCATGACTGTTGAAAGTATCTGAAGGACGATTAGATGTACTAGAGAAATCCGGGTTTATTAGCCATAGAAGAACTGTGTTTCTGCTTGGCTCACAACTTTGCAGAGCAGTCATTTTTTCTGATGCGTAGCTCCAGGACTACACAGATCTTACACCACTAGGAGCCCCATGTGGCAGTTGCTTTTTCTCGCTGGCCAGTTTCTACAATGATCTGGACATTAACCAAATTATCATTGATTCTTCAAGCCTTAATTCACCATAGAGGCAGTGGGAGCAGCAGCTTTAATCATTGCCAGTTTTTACTGACAGGACTACAAACCACAGTTGCCAGATGACTCAGACTTTGGCATCCTTAGTTTTGCTCATGGATTTTATATGGAAATTTGAAAAAGTAATGACCATAGAGATCATGATTTTCAGTAGAGTGCAAATGCTGTAGCACCACACCTAAACTAAAAGTGGGCTTTAGTCCATCTTCTTCTTTTTCTTTTTTCTTCTCCGTTTTACATGCTTTTAATTTACTACCGTTAAATGACACCTTTTTCTTTTCTGGGGAAAAAGACCAAAAAAAGGCCAGTTTGTGCTGGCGTGTTGGCTGTTGTGGTAGTGAAGTCTTGCCTTGACACACATGAGCTGCTGGTATGTGTCCTTGAGGCTTGTGACCTTGCAGAGGAACACTGGGTGTTAGCTAATGTGCCTCGCTGCCCAAATGCTCCATTTCTGAGATCATAAGGGGAGGTGCAGCACCAGCCTCGATTCCTCCCACTTCTTTTCAGAGAGGAGTGTTGTAAAACTGAGGCACAAGGCAGGGGGTGGAAGAAGAGTCCAGTGCAAATTAGTTTAGCTGACTCTCACAAACAGCGACCATATACAATTTTAGTGTATATCTACTGTAGATCTGTATTGTCACCTTGCTAGAGGCAGTTGGCAGAGCTAGTTCCAGTTTTGAAACAGCTGAGCTGCTGCAGCAGAGGGAATTGTGCAGAATTTCCAGTTTGTCCATCTTGGCGGCCTTGGTGAAGTGCTAGGTTGAGAGTTCCTTCTGGAAACAGAGCGGGCTCTGACTGGTTGGGAATGGTCAATCTTGTACTAATCCTGCCAGTGAGCACAAGACCAGGGGAGCTCAAGGCAGCCTGAAAGACGTGTTCATGTAGTGTAAGCCTGGGCCTGCATCTGAAAGATGGGACTTGCTTTGATACTTCTCTGGTATTTTAACACAGCCAAATACCATCCAGGCCAACACTGTTTCTCACTCCTTGGAATGTGGGAAAATTTGTCATAAGACCCTCTGCAGATGGTAGCGTGAAAATAGATTCCTAAAGTTACACGATAACTGAGCACTCTCTTTTAACCTGTTTAGCCACTCTGTTCTTTACATTGTTGATGTGTCACCCTAAAATGTGGCTCAAAGCACAAGTGGTGCTAGCCTGTATAGGGATGATGTGCAGAGACGCACAGTAACTTCACTAAGTTGCCCTGGTGCCAAAAGCTCCGTTTCACGAGAGAGGCTTCCTGTCACTGGGACAGAGGATGCTCCAGGTTGCTCACACATCCCTTGACAGATGTCTAAGCTTCACATGCAGCAAGTGCTGAGTTGCTGCACGTTGCACATTACAGTTTGATGTTTAAATGGTGAACTGGTGCTGCTTTTAATTTGTTGCTGAGGTATTTCAGGAGGTGCCTGGGGAGTACTTGTGAAAAAGGGGCAAGGAAGGTGGCTGAAGTGATGCCTTGCCAGCCCTTCCCACACAGAGGGGACCCTGAGAGTCAGAGCCCTGATGTTGTGGAGTAGCCTGCTATTCTGTTAGTAGTCACACGGTGAAGCTACACAGAGTAACTGTACTTCAGAAACACCATTGGCTCGTGGGTGTCAGTACGATTAAGAGCACACCGGAAAAAGGTTGGAGGAAGCCGTCAGTGCCTGTGCGTTCGGCACGCATCCCCACTGTGGAGTGACTGAGTTACCAGCCGAAGTGAAAGCAACCACAAGGCCGCAGCCTTTGCCACAGGTTGAGCCAGCTACCTTGAGCTGAAAGCTAAGCAGCAGTGAGGATTTGAGTCAGAGGTTTATATGCTGCCAGGAAGGAAAGTTAGGTTAGGGAAGGTCTATTCACCCTGTGTGGAGGATTCTCACTTCAGCTGGTTTGAATTGCTTGCAGCAGTGCCTGTTTATATCAGCATTCGCTTTGCAAGCATTACTAAGTGCAGTTGTTGTGCACTTCTCTTGTGCTTTGTGCTTTTCCATTTTATACCTCATTGACAGGTTTATATGTATTTCTTTAATGTTGTCTGCATCTCAGAAATACACTTAAGCTTTCTTTGCCATGCAAAATAGAAGAAAATTGCAAAAGTCAACAACATAACTTGTATCTTGTAAACTTCTGAAGATTAGTATTCTAATAATAAAAAGCATAAGAAGAATATTCTTAGTCAAAAAAAGGAATATTGACCTCAGAAATTATTGCAAGATTAAATTAAATATTTGTATGGGGAAAGACACTTGTTTGGAATAACACAGACATTACTAACTTGAGCTTCAGTCATCTTATCTGTGTTACTTTCTTCAGTATCTGGGCAGCAGAATTTGCCGTTAGAATTTGGCAATTTTCAGTAAGTGGTCATAAACATTAAAGATAAGTTGGCAGGATGTTGATGCTTTTTAATAGGAAATAATGTTATAGAAATCACAGTCATACTTTTTGTCTTTCTTTGAGTACTTATAAAGATGTTTGAGATAATTTATACAGCTTTTGAAATAGTGGATGAGCACTTTTTAATGAGGAGAGAAGTAGGGAATAAGTGCCAATGGCAAGTTACTACATTTGAAATATACTCACTCGTTCCTATGACATATTGTTCTCTTCTGTTTCTTTCTCCTTCATTTCAAGTTGACACAGAAGAAGATAATAATGAAAGAGAATAATGTCACGTGATTTACTCATGCCTGTGTAGAGAGCCATTGCAGTGCATGGGCACTATTTAAGTTCAGCTAAGAGCTCCAGTGAATGTTCAGTGTCTCAGCAGGAGGTTGACGCAAGATGACTTGAAAAATAACATTGTAGTAGAAGTGAGCATCATATAGTACCACTAACCAGAGTATTCTTTACCTCGCTATTCCAGTGTGGCAAAGCACTTCCTGGCCTTTCCAAGCAAGAAGACTGCTGTGGAACCGTGGGTACTTCCTGGGGTTTTAACAAATGCCAGAAATGTCCCAAGAAGCCATGTAAGTGCTATTTTGTTGTTATTCTCTGGATCAGTTTATGGCTTTTTCTTTTTTTCCCCTCAAGTAGTATGTTTCCTTTCTTGAGAAGAAAAAAAAAAAGGAGCCTAGTAGAAAGAATATGCTGTGGCTTGATGAGGGACAGGTTGCAGCAACTGGAATTCTCTGTGTGCCAGCAGAGTTACAATATGCAGGCACTCAGTGCAGCCAGCAAAGTTAACGTTGTTGGGTTTTTCTCCCCTTCCTCCTACTTAAGTTAGTGACGCGCTGTTGTGTTTTCTCAGTGCAGGAAGGATAATGACATTGAATCGTCTTGCCTCTTCCAGATGGATTTATATTTAAGTTTGTACAGGAATGTTAAGTTAGAGAGGCACCAGTTACTGCTTGGAGAGAATGCAGTGACCTCTTGGGACTGCAGATGAACTTTCAAGTTTAGAGCCAAAGTTTTCCAGGCTCTAAATTGTCAGTAATATTTTTTTGCTCTGTTTTTGAAATATCTTCTTCAGCAATTAGGCAATGACAAAATCAGTCGTTATGATTTGACATCATATTATAACGAGAAAGAAATTTCAAATTACTTGCATGATAGGTGAATCTGGTCTCTTCAACTTTTTCTGAATTACACTGTTGCACAATAATAGTAATGCTTCTTTGTCATGTTTTCATCACTAAATGAAAGATGAGAAAAGATAATGTAATCTCTGTTTTGCAGATGGAGTGGACCTGCATTTAGCGGGCCAAAAATAGTGCAGGGAGTTGCAATCGTTCTTATCTAGGTCTTCTAGGCCCTTGTTATTCGTACAGACAGCAGTGCTGGAAACGTGTTCAGTGCTTGATTTTTTTGGAAGCCTGTTTTTGTCCACAAGTCTTAATGTAGATACAAATCCAGCAGAAAACCTGCTGTTATTCCTGCTTCTCTGATGACTCCTTCCACCGGAGAGTCTGATATAAATTTATACTGACTCAGTCTGATCTGCTAGTTTATGAAACATTCAAATTTCGTGTTTTAGAGCACATTTATGTTCTTAGGTGCTTCTGAAAGAACTCCTCCCCAGGGCTCTTTGAGGGCTGTAGTTAATAAAGGTCTCGGCTATCTAAAGTTATTCCTGTGGCACATAAATACAGCTTCTAACAGACGTGTGTTCTGTATTGGTGTACAAATTGTGAAATGTGCCCTGATTTTATAGCTGTCTCTAAAGAGGTAGCAATTTGACTACAACTGAAAGTCTTGTTCATCAGAAGCATGTGGCTGTGTAGAATGTTGTTTAGTGGATGTAAGTGTGCAATGAGAAAAATCATGAAAACTTGAAGTGTGCTTCAACCAAAAACTGGTTGGAACTCCTAATACAAATTTTTGGTGCCTGGTTCGAAGGGAAGCCCATTTGCTAGCTCTTCACAGCTCAGATAAAACCCTGGTTGTTTCAGCCTGGAATCCACAATGTGTTGATCAGGCAGCTGCTTTTAATACCAACAAGATCGGCATGATGTTAAGAGCAAGTAAACAGGGAAACACTGGGGCAAACGGTGTCTGAAATCTGGTCCCCAGGTGCTTCCTAGGTGGGTACAGAGAAGTGCCTGAACTCACCACAAAACCTCTCATGATGGGAAATCCACCAACCTTTTTTCAAAGAACTGAGTAAGAGGAATTTTTTTGAAATGCTAATGAGATGAGCACTGTCCTTTTATTACAAAAGCTTAATGGCTAGCACACTTGCTCAAGATGGGGCAATTCAGAGTTTTTTTATCTGCCAGAAGAATTTCCAATCCACATTTTATACCTATGAGGAGATGCCCTAACCCGTAAACTGTAGAAACAATTATTGGAACAGGACTAGGAACCCAGTCTCTTTCCCAGTGTCATTACTTACTTATGGTATGCGTCATGCTCACTCCTGCTTTTTGGCTCTCTCTGAAACTGTTTTTTTGAATGCAGCTTTATGATTTCAGGAGGAGACAGAGAGCATTGCCACTTGGAATAATCCTGTCCTTGTGATTAAAGCATTCCTGGAAAGTAAGGGTTTGTGTCTCCTAGACATAATGGGATACATTTCTCCTCTTTCTAGGTGGGAGCTCTCACTCTACATCAGTGTTTTAAGAAGGGAGGAGGAGATGGGTGCACTGTCTGTTTACTCTAGGTTAAAATACACTGTCATCTACCACTACATTTTATCAAGAATATTATTTGGTAGGTGTGTGCTTCACGAATATTCACAGAATCTGTCAGGAAGCTTTGGTAGGGGTGTAGGTAATTTCTTAGTCTCGATTTGATTTAGGAGGGAGTTGAGCATGATGCTATTCAGTCAAGTCCCGACTTAGGGCAATTCTGCATGGGTACAAATGGTGAATTTTCAGATTTGTAAGAGCTTAAGGTGATAAACTCAGAGTGTTGCAGGAGTGACCTTACGTATCCTAAGAGGTTTACAGATGCTTAGTTTGAACGTAGGTACACAATTTGAACTTTCTCATCTGTTTTGGATCTGGGCCTACGTGTCATTTGGTCATAGGTGTCAAATTAAGCCTCATGTCAATATCAAGGTGTTATGCTTCTGTAGAGCAAACATATCCCAAAAATAAATGTAAATTTATTATAAGATTTAATGAAAGTGTGGAGTGGCTGCTTAAGAATTTATATTTCATAATTTTTTTTCTTTACAATAATGAGAATGTTTCAGTGGTAAGAAGAGTAGTAGTGTCTCAGCAGGCAAAGTTAGTTCCACATTAGTGCCATGTAATTTTGACTTGTTCCGATACTTCACTAAATTGGTATTACCCTTTTTATTGTAGACTTTCTGGAAGCAGACAGACTTCCTTTTGCTTTTATGGATCGATGCTTCATAAACTTTGTTTAAGATTGACGTGTTTTTCTATTAATATGTAATCAGGTTGCATTTAGTGTGATCTTCTGTGAAACCCACTTCAGCAAAACGTGTAAGCATATACTTCACTCTCATAAGCAGGCACTTTTCTTCTCTCCTCAGTCCACTACTTAAGGATGTATGTAAGTTTGCATGTGTCTTGGTCCCGTGGACTTAAACAGGGCTTTGTCACTATAAAGACGTACTTGCGTATTTTGGGTAATAGCCAAAATAGCCTCAGTCAGGGCTTCTGTCTGCTGTAAAGTCAAGTGCCTTGGCCTGAGACAGCTCCCATGTCTGTAAGTGTATGGGTTATTCACTGTTACTGAAAAACAAAATAAGAAGTTTTGGAACAGATGTCCGTTTTTGAGGGCTTGTACAAAGGACGACTTTTAAGACAAAATGCATTTCTGTGATACATAGGGAATGTTATGATTGTTCCGGCTTAACAGTTAATAATTACAAACAGGTTGTCTAAGTGAGTAAAGGGTAACTAATGTAGGACTCCATCCAGCTCCCACATGGATCACTAGCCATCATTGAACAAACTGTGACCTGCTTACGTTGCTGCTCTTTGTGGAAGGAAGAAAACAGCTGCTAGTCAGCCGCTGTTTCCTGTTCAGTGCGGGAGTAAGAGGATGAAGAGGGAGGAGGAGGTTAAAATCTCTGACCTCACTCTACCACTGCACTTTCTAGAGCAGCTGAGTCACCCTGGAAGGGAAAATGCATTGCAGTGCTGGAAAAGGCCTGGCATAGTTTATGGGCTGGTCTCCATCTACAACTGGAAGAGCTCTGTTCTTCCTCGGTTTTCCTCCACCAGGCTGTACTGCAGGGTATCATTCCTGCCCACAAGAAGTTAGAGAGACTCTCCTGGGTTTAGTGTGAATTGAATCAGGTCTTTAATGGCAAACACTGGTAAGTTAGGACATAGTCAGTGCAGTTATGAACCTGACTCTGCCAACATGAGCATGAGGAGTTTCATTGACACTTTTAGGGATCAGGAAAGACTAATGCGTTGTGCTTTTGAAAAATCTTACCTTAAATTTCAACTGGTTTTAATATTAACATTGTGAAAAGATTGGAGTTGCCTTGAAAATAAATGTGTTGCTGTGACTTTTATGGTGAGAGATTAAATTTTCAAATCTTAATTTCTGTTAAAATGGTTGTAGTCAATGAAAAGATGGAAAAGTATGTGTTCAACACTGTAAGAACATTGTTGCTGTATTTTGACACGTACTATCTGTGTTTAACCATTTTATAACTGTAAACAATCTCTGAGAATCTTAGTGTGCTAATTAAGTAATGATTTTAAATAATTCACAATGATTTGAAATAAAACTATCTCACTCAAAAAGCTGCTACTCTAGATCATCACTTAAATTTTTCCAAAGAATAGGAAAAGCTCTTAAACTAATGAAAACATATATATTTTTTTCTTTTTTTTCCCCACCCTTACAGTCGACCAGTTACCGGTTTTAAAATAAGATGTAGGGATTAATGTGCAATTCAGGCACTATATGTGAAGTGAAGCCAAGTGAAAACATTATCTCACTCAGTTGTTCTTATTTGATAGTATATATAGCGGAAAGATGGAAAGTAATGTGTTTAGTTGGGTTTCCCCACTCCACCCCCCCCGCGGAACATTTAGAACACTTTTAAAGGGAAACAGAAGACCTGACCAAATGTAAGGTATTTCTGTTGTAGCGTTCAAATTATGGAAAAACTCTCTTGACTCTTATTAAAAGCATTTGTGATGATAGTGCCAAAAGTTTAGTCCTATATTTTTAATGAAGTACTGGGCTTTGCCAAGACGTTAGTGCATAACCATACAATGAAGTTACTGCTTTCATTTATGGTGTTATAACAGTTTAAGAATCAATAAACGGTTATCTGTAGTCTCAAAGCCAACCTTAAGTGGAGGAAAGAAACAATACATAGAAATAAAAATCAACTTAACTGAACACTTTCTATTTTGGCAAAATTGAATTCAGTCTGTATTTTGCAGTGTCGATATGTCCTTGACAGTTTACATTGATCAGCCAGTGAGTCTCAGAGTCTTCTAAAATTCAGCCACTTTGTTAGGTAAATCACACACGTGTCTTTTCTTCTTTTTGCATTGTTCTAAAAGTACATTATTTAAAGCATGTTTTTAATTCTTTGTGGCAGGAGAAATGGTACCCAACAATTTGCTTAACACTGAAGATACTTCTGCTTTCTAAAGGTGCTTTCAGTTTTAAAAACATTGAGTTTCCATCATGGATCTTCACATTTATCTTTTCCCAACACAATATTTGTAGTTGGTTTGGAAAAGTAATTATTTGAATGTTTGGGAACAACTAGGATGAAAGATGGCATCCTTATTTCAAGGATTTCTTTTTTGGAAAAAATATAAATTTGACTGGATAGCTGAAGACAAGTGGTATGCGTGTGGAAAGAGGTGGAATGCAGGTTACCTGTACAGTCTTCAGTTTTAATTTATTGACCTTTTATGCTTGACCGTACATCATAAAAACTTACAATGATTTTTTTTTTAATATAGTTACATAATGATTTGACTGTCCAGCTTTCTGAATAAGTGTATAAACCAATATTATTTAACTCATGTAATTTTTTTCTTCAGCTTACCATGGATACAGTCCTATGATGGAATGCCCACAAGGCTACAAGAGGATCAATGCTACATTTTGTCAAGGTACGATAGTGTCCACAGCTGATTGTGTTTATATTGAGTACCACTTTTCTGTGACAGTTTCTAAGATATTTATGATTTAGATGAATGGATCCAGTCCATTTATTTGTATTTGCAAAAAAATGTTGAGGCTCCTTTTAACTCTTTCCAAATATTGGCAACTCCATAGAGTGGGTTGGTTTTGGGTTTTTTTTGCTCTGGGGCAAAAAACTTTTAAAACTTTTAAAACTTTTATGTATACTCTCATTTTCATTGATGCTGTATAAAGATGACTTCATAAGGATTCATTTACTGTGTTTTTCAGTGGAAACACACCATTATGTCAGTTCTTTTGCTAAACAGTGAACCTGCAGACTTACTCAGTTAAGTCAGATGAAACTAGCAATAGAGAATAATGTCTATAATCATGAAACCATAGAGAAATCAGAGAAAAATTCTTAAGAATTGACTTAGGAGGTTAGACACAACAGTACTGAGAACAGCAAGATAATATCGCTAGCAAGTGGAAATGAAAAACCATTCGTACCTGGCCACTATGTAAAGAGGTGACCCACATACTTCAAGAATATACGTAGTGCAAATGAGGAGGTATGGGGTTAGACTTCATAAGTTGTGTTACTCTGAGATGATGGCCTATGTCTCCTGACTGTAAGCATAGAAGTTACCAAAACATAAAGGGTTGGGGAATCTGCATGATTGTGCGGCTGCACAGAAAGGCTGGAGGCATTTAGCTTCTCCCAGCCTGACAAAGCTGAACAGATGACCATAAACATATGCTCCTTCTTTCTGTGTATCTTGCAGTCATGAACAGAGGTGCCAGTTAAGGATGTAGGAAAAAGTTTAATTGCTTGTCTGACTTGTTTGGCACAGCTCAGTTCAACAAGATAAAGGAGCTCTGAGAAGATGTGAGCAATCCTGCAATGGTGCTCTGGAGAGAGATTTGGGAAGGAAGGGAAGAATGAGTTCAAGTGAGGCTGACGCTGACCTGTGGCCAGGTTTGTTAGTCATTGTTGACACTGCAAGGGTGAAAGAGCTCTCAACAAATAGTAGTGGTGGTGGAGAGGAGAAAATGGAAGAGTAATTGGTATTAAAGGATATATGTAAGCACTGTGGAGATAAAGTGGATTTTATTTAACTGAAAACTTTCAGTTAGCATGTCAATGAAGGAATGTGGAACAGCCAGCCATGTAGAGAAATTATTTTACCAACCAAAAAAGTACAGTTTGCAGAGCACTAACTACAAACATCCTGCTGCTTCTACTGTGAGCTGCTCTCTGGAAGTACAGGCACTTGAGCCTATCTGCAGCTCAGTTCTCTGTCTACTGGTTTATCAGCTTGCAGGGTAGGGGCATTTGGAGGATTGTGAGAGAAAATGTGTTTGGGTCAAAATACTAAAAAAAACTAAATGGAGGGGAGCAGCACATTGCATCTCAAGCTTTTTGCCTGATCTGTAGTGAAAGACTGTAGAGTCCTCTTAATAAATCAAAGGAATGGGGAGATGTTGATGGCAACTTTCTGATGAGGGCTGCAAAGTGAAAAGGTGAAGGAGGTGAGTGTAGGGCACCTCAGATTAGACACGCAGGTGGTGCATAATTTCAGCAAGATGCTTGCAGCGATTTCAAAAGAGATTGTGTTATTCCACATGTTAGTTACAAGGTTTATTAGTCTGCAAAAGACTCTGAGCACAGAAAGTGTCTGGTAGGTGCCATGATGCGTGAGTACCATCATGCATCCCTCTGACCATGGTTCAGGAGAGACACAACCTTTTGATATCTCCAGTAGCTGTGCACAAACCCTAGTGTATACACACTAGGCAGCAGCAACCCAGCAGGCTTCTAAAGGCACGTAGGGCATTGTTTGTTTCAAGGGATTGTACCTAGATCTTGACAAACCGTATTTCATGAGAACTACTATCCTTAATCAGTGGCTTCAGACAGTTAAAAAATGTTCTGGTGCTTGTGAAGGTTGCCAGAATTAGGACAGGAAGCTGTTTCGATGAGCAGTGACAGGCTGATAGAGAGGGAGAACGTATGTCTCTGGGTAGGAGCATAAGAGGGAATGAGGTCCTGCCATAGTAGTGTGCAGAAATAGATCCATACCTGGTAGGCTAGTCACTGTTTGTTGACTGGGTTTTGATCATTTTTCCCCTGACACATTTTTTTACTACATAATTAATACTCCAAGAAATATGAGGCTTTAAATAGTTTGTTTTATTACTGATATTATTATCCCAGAACAGAGAGCTGTAAACTCTAAATATAACTTGTAGTTGATACATGGAAATTTATAATGTAGAGTTTAATCAGACAGTGGGAGTCAGATTATCCAACCAGGAAGTAGACTATTGATGAATTGAGGATAGGGACAGTCCCTTAGCTTTCTGGAGAGGACAGAGTTGGTTACTGCTACACATACCACATATTGCCTTATGGAGGCCTGTGTGGCTTCTCTGTAATTTACTCACCGACACAGGAGGAACTGGGAGAAGGAATACCCATGAAATTTAGTCCTGTTGAAGTAAATAACAAGATTACCATTTTCTTTCAGAGGGTCAGGATTTTGACCTCGGTTTGAACAGTCATCGGGGGAGCTAGCTTCACATGTGAAAGCTGCTGGCAGGGTGTATTTCAGCCCTGAAGTGGTCATTAGCGTGTTCTTCTCAATGGGTCAGGCAAAAGTGCCCTGTTTGCCTTTACATGAAGCAGACACTTTTCTAGAAGAGGACAGGGCTAATGAAGAAACAGCAGTACATATCATAAGCATGGAAGAAAGCAACAGCAATAACTGTGAAAACTATTTAAGATGCTGGCGGGGGAAGTATTCATATTATTGTAATAATCCTTACAGTTAAATTGGAAACGAGTGGCACATGTCCATATGCAAGTATACATTTTAATTAGATTATTCTTTGCAAAAAGGGGGTGTGTGCTGTGTCCATGCTCAGAAAGGGCCAGCATTGCCAGACCAAACGGTGATGGGGATATATTTCTGAATCCTTGCCTGCAGCTAAGAGAGATTGCTGTTTCCACCTAGATATCGTCCAACTTTCACTATCTTTAAAAACTCAGGCCTAAAAGTCTAAGCAGCCTTTTGTTCTACATTGATTTTGCAGTCAAAAGCCTCCTTAGTTTACAGAGTCTATGTATTATTAGTGGGATTAATAACTAGATCCTGATTTTTCTTTTTTCCTTTCAAATGAGTGAACTAATGTAATGAAATATTCTTGTCCCTAATGTGTATGTAGGACACAAAGAACCATCTGTGGGTATGCTAATTCAAACAGTTTAGTATAATTGCTATCAAGAAAGCTTTTTTCCTCCCATAGTAATTATCTTTTCAATGGGGTGATTTATTGCATGTACACACATAGATGCCCTAAGGCTGTCATTAAAGCCAAAATACAGCTTATCAGAGTTGCAACTTCTTTGTCAGAATCCACATGCAATTCTAATTTCTGGTTCCCTGTTTAGAATTATACTTACTATTTCCTTCTGCTAATGGTTTTCTTGGAAAACTGAAATAGAATGAAAAAAACAGCTGGTGAAAAAGATTAATTTTTCAGGAAACTAACATATTGCCAATAGAGCACTTTAAAAATCTTATCTTGAAGAACTGGAAAAATACCTGAACAACTGTTTTTCAATGAAGTAAAAAGTTGTGAATTGAAGTTTCTGAAAAGCCCCATATGCTTAAAATTAAATGTATATGAGCTTGCAGAAACTAGTACTTGTATGCTGATGGATCAAATTCTGTAATCATGTGCTCTGGGGACTTGAAGCTTTTTTTCCCTTGGCTTCATCATGATTGAAAATAAATTTTGAAGGTATATTCTGCCTTCCTACATGTGTCCCTAAATTACAATAATAAATCTGTTTTCTCTGAATGTTGCATATATATATTTTTTTACCTTTAAGTAATAAAAGAACTTAGCTTCATAAGAAATGCTGTTTAATGTTACTTAGGTACTAAGTTAACAGTCTTCTTTCAAAGAAGTTCTTTTATGATGATCATACTGAGACATAAATAAATCTCCAGAAATTGGGCTGGGTTGCTGTTTGGACATTGATTATGTGTTTGAAAAGTGTGGCTCTGCAAACTTGTGTTCCAGTAAATTCCATGCAGAAGCACAAAACGGGTTGGATTGATTTCTCCTGCTGCTAGTCCGTTAGCTCACAGAAAGCAGTGTATCATTTCTTAGAATATGCAATCTTTTTTCCCCTGTTAATTTTAAAAATATATATTGCAATAGTTTCATTACCAACCAAACCTTGTTTGTTTCTTTTACTCCTTGTTCTCACTAATCAGGTTGTCATTGAAACAGTCAACTATAGTGGAGGCAGTAAAATGTGTGCTGGTGCTGATTTTAGTCAGGACAGAGTTAATTTTCTTCTCAGGAGCTGCTATGAGGCTATGTTTTGGATTTGCCTGGAGAAGACTACTGGTATTATATTTTTCTTAGAACTGAGGATATGAATAGTGGTTAACAATACAGCTATAGCAGAAACAGTTGGAACAGTATTTTCAGTGGTGTTAGCAGGTACAGTTGCAATTGATTTTCATAAAGGGAATCCAAAATGATGCCTGTGTATTGAGCCAGTTTGGAGATCATTGAATCAGATGGCACTCCCGGTGAAGACTGACATATACCTACCAGAATGAGTAAAATTTTCACACGACACATAAATTAGATATTCCATTCTTGCTTTAACATGCACAATATTTCATGTTGTAAATTACTTACTGCATGAAAACATCTGTCAAGGCTGATATTACTAAAATAACCTTTAATGGCTGACTACTAGGTCATCTTTAAGAAGTTGCACAGTACTTTGACAAATTCTAATTAGTATATAATTGAACTAAAAGGTTTGCTTTGCTTAAATGCAACAGTGTCTTAAGTGTGTGAGGTTCTTACTGGAAGGAGAAGTTGCTTGCTTTACATCAAGAGGAGATAGAAGTTTTCAGTTCATTTTTTATTACACAGGATTACTTTGTCACTTAAA